TTTCAATCCATTCTACCAATGTCTGCCTTTTAATTAGAATATTTAGTCCATTTACAGTTAATGGTATTCTGATAAGGTAGAATATGCATCTACCATTTTGCTATGTGTTTCCTATAGTCATTCTTACACCTTTTTTGTTCCTCTATTCCTCCATTATGCCTTCTTTTTTGTTAAATAGATATAGTCTAATTTCATATCAGTTATTTTTTTTAGTTTCAGAAATTGCATTAAACATTTTTTATTTTTATACTCCATCCGTTACAAAGAAGATAAGAAATTTCTGAAGTCCATCTTTCAATTCTTTTGGAATTCACTCTGACTCAGCAACATTTTTAGTTGAGAGAATTGTTTCTTTGTTCACACTTTTTAAATAAAGATTTTATTTTATTTTATTTTTTTCTAGAGAAAGGGGAAGGGAAGGAGAAAGAGAGGGAGAGACACTTTAATGTATGATTACCTTTTGGGCATCCCTGACCAGGGACCTGGCCCGCAACCCGGCACGTGCCCTAACTGGGAATTGAACTGGCAACACTTTGGTTCACAGGCTGGCACTCAATCCATTGAACAAGCCAGGGATTGTTCACGCTTGTTGAGAAGCAAGTGGGTGTTGACTGTCCCGATGTAACTGTTCCGAAAATCAATGCAGGGCTCTTGCCTTTGGAGGCAGACATACTATGACTTAGGTCTACAGAACTTGGAGAACTTGTCTCTGGTGTCTTGAGGCTGAGTTTACTTGGAGGAGCAGCAGGGTTGCTCTTCAACACTGAGAGCAAGCTTCGATGTTTACCATGATGTTTAACTATTTTGTTGCATGTTTTAAAAGTAATAACAATACGCTTTTAGAATCTTTGTACTTCTCCACAATTTTTGCTTCTTTAAAACTGAGTGTAGCCCTGGCTGGATAACTGAGTTGGTTAGAGAGTCCTTCAGATGCACCAAGGATGTGGGTTCCATCTCCAGTCAGGGCACATACAGCAATCAGCCAATGAATGCATGAATGGCTGGGACAACAGATCCATGTTCCTTTCTCTCTCTCTCTCTCTCTCTTTCCACCTCTCCTCCCCATTCCTCTGTCTCTAAAATCAATAAATAAAAAAATTTAAAAATCAAGTGTATAATTTCTTGCTTTTCAATTAAGAAGTTTCTGTGTTTTGGGTGTCAGTATGGGCTTGGGTTTGAGGTGCCCTTGAAAATTATCCAGCAACAGCACTGGAAACAGATGGATCCGTTCCTTCAGAAGTCCCGTTAGCATCACTGCCTGGAGGCCCAGAGGAGGCAGCAGGCCAGGCCTGGGCAGCTGTCCTGCAGTGTCCTTGAGATGGTACTTCTGTCTCATTGCCACCACTGTCCACACCATTAAGATCTGGCGACAAAAGGTCATATCAATTCTTTTATTAGATTTTTAGAGTATACAATGATATACGAAAGCTCTGCTCCTGTACAACTTCATGCTCCCTCCTTTTTGTTGTTGTCACACAAATCATATTGTGTGTGCTCGTCAACACAGATTTATAATTATTGTTTCCTCTGCCTTTTATATTTATGTTTGTACTGTCTTTTATATTTGCCTGCATAGTTACTTTTACTGGCATATTTTATTTCTTCATGCAGACTTGAGTTACTGACTGCTGTCCTTTAGGAGTTATTGTAGTAATTTCTGTCTTCTAGCAGTGAATTTTTACTTACTGTCTTTTCTCATTCACGGCCTGTCATTTACCCCTCCCTTTTTGTACAAGCCAGTGAGACCTGGGACACTCAGGCTTGAAGCTGGACTCTCCCTCCAACTGCCACACAGACAGTGAAGGACAGCACTCATTGTCCTCCCTTCCTGTTTAGTTCTCAGAACCCAAGATTATTTAGGTGACAACATATTTGGGGCAGGTGGGCCTCTTCATCTGCCCCATGTATTGAACCATGTTTTGTCTGAGCCAGGCACAGCCCCACTGCCAGAGTTCACAGTCAGTGTAGAGCAGCAGGTGACCCAGGACTTTGCCCCACAATAAATAATGGTAGAGGCCAGCCCCCTTCTGCCTGCAACGTTGTTGCTCGATCAAGTGATGCTTACAGCTGCAGCAGCCCTCTTGTGACCACAAGGTAATCGGTTTAAGATTAAAAAGATGGCAGAGCCAAAAGACAGAGCCAGCCTGGGTCTTTGACTGCATCTCTGAGTACTACACCCGCTGCAGTGCCATCTGGATGCCACCTGGATTGTGCTCTGGCAGCTGAGGCAAGATGGAGCAGGAGTGGGAGATGAGAGGGTGGATGCCAGCCACCTGGAAGAGGTCTGCAGAGGGTCCATTGGTTCATGAAAGATACCCTTCCACTTTCACCATTGAGAAGCCTTCTCAGGTTTCTACAGCTCTGGCCTAACTCATCCAAATGCTCCCAATCACTGTAATAAGTTAAATGGCAAACGGAATTAAGACTCAAATCTGGGTCCTTTACGCATGACTTTCATGACTAAACCTCGAGACTCCACCTCTCCTTCTTGCGTTTCCTCAACAATAATTGTCTGTTGCCATTACTGTCATCCCTATGGGTCCTGTGAGTCCCGGTTAAATCCCAGTGTGAGTTCTATACCAGGGACTGATGGAGTCAGGGTGACTCGGTTGCACATGAACTTGGAGAATAAAGAGCACTGTGCTAAGTGGAGGCTGGTTGGGGAGAGGACAGAGGAGGGAGGCTCTGCTGGCAGGTGCCCAGAGGTGGGCACCAGTCATGCGGAACTCGGCGGCTGCAACAAGGCTGGGAGGGCACAGGTTTGCAGTGGGGACCCTTTCTACTCAGGTGACTCAGTTTCCTGGAGGAGGCTGGGCTCTAGCAAGGAGAAGTGGGGATTCCAGGCTCAGAAAGGTGTGGAGCTAGGGCCAGGTCCCCGGCTGCAAGCGTGCGGGAAGCACTCACTGCAACCACTGGCTTCCATCCTGCCACCTCCTCTCCCTCTGCTGGCACTACAGCCACTACTGCCAGATCCCTCATCGCCCGGCTCGGAGACCAACCTGGGTTCCACCTTCCCTTCTCTGCTGTCCTGGGCAAGTCGTTCCCTGAGAGAGCCCCTTACCCCACCTTCACCCAGCATGGCTCCCTATTCAATACCTCCCCACTGCCGAGTCTAGCCCACTCTGCAACAATTACTTCCCTGGGAAGCCTCCTGTAACTGTTTCACCATCCCATGAACAAGGCTCTTGATCTCTACAAGTCTCCAGTTTATCACATATGTGCTGATAGTAGTTTGTGTTACATGCTTTGGAAACACACGTGTTGGAGAAGACAATATCAAACTCAGCATGGAATTTGTGGGCTTTCCAATATTTTAACATAGAATCAAGTTTTGCTATTATAGAAGTAAATGCACACACACACACACAGAGAAAATGGAGAGAGAGAAAAATCCCCTATAATAAGCTCACCAGCTAGGCCTTCTACTGTGAGCGTTTTTTGGAGACCTTGCTGCCTTCGTTGTTACAGAAACAGATTATTACTGCTGGGCCTATTAGAGGCTGAGGGTTTTGTTGTTATTACAGCTACACGGAGATATAATCCACATATCACACAATTCACTTCTTTGAAGCATATAATTGAGTAGTATTTAAGTATATTACAGAGCTGTGCAACCATCACATTTAAAATATTTTGTCACCCCAAAAAGAAATTCACTCCCTTTTAGAGGTCGTCTCCATGTTTTATTTTTTGCTTAACATTTTGCAAGCACCTTCCTGTTAACCAATAGTCTTCTTAACTACCTTGTCTGGTGACGGCTAGCAAAGGATTTGGGGGGAGGACCAAATCCTTTGGACCACTGGCACAGCTGGGGTGTTCTAGAATGATGGTGTTGGGGAGGAGGTGGGAAGGCTGAAGCAGCAGTGACTGAGCGGAGAGTGACAGGAGCCGACTGCGGGGAGCAGGGACCTGACATTGGGGTGGAGTGAAGCAAAGCTCTGGAATCAGAATCCACAGCACTACGGACTGGAATGTCGGAAAGGATGAAAGAGGAAGGGGGTCAGCACCCTGGTGGGGGAGGGGTGGAGTGAGAAGTAAGGTCAATAACTGAGTATCGCAAGGAGGAGAGGGCCACCGTTTTGAGAAGGGTTAAAAATGAGCTTGATTTTGGACTTGCTGGGTTTGGGCGCCTCCGGGTCTTGTGGTGGAGTCACAAAGTTGCGGGCTTGGGATGCTGAGGTCTGGGCCTTAGGAGGTGCCTAGGACCAGGGAAAAGGTTTGGGATAGAGCGTGTAAGGCCACGTGTGAGGCCTTAGGAGCCTGAGCTGATGTAAGGTGATGAAGGATAAAGAGAGCACCTGAAGAGCACTGGCACTTTGAGGGGTGAGGGAGGTGGGCAAGGATGCGGCGCATGTCACCAGGTGGGAGAAGCCAGAGCAGGAGGCGCTGGGCTGTGGCGGGGAGGCTGGCGCGCGAGTGCAGAGCTGCAGCCTCGCAGAGCGGTCCTCGCGTGAAGTGCCGAGCGTGTGTCCCTTGGCTGCCTGCGAGTTTGGGCTTCTCCGTCCCCTCCAGCCGCATCTCACGTAGGGAGCAAGGCGAGCCCCGCCGCCGATCCGGTGAGGTCCGCAGGGTTCGGGTCGGGAAGGCTTCGGGTTCCTGCACCGCCAAGGCTGTGGAGTGGCTCAGGGGGCGGCCCCCGGGCGGCGGGCGGCCGGGAACAGGGGGCGCCCCCCGCAGAGTCCGATCTCAGTCCCCAGAGCGGCCCGGGCTCCGCGCCGCCGGGTCTGAGGGACAGCGCGACAGCTCGGGACACACCCACCGAGTCGGAGCGTTAGAGAAAGTTGGGGAACTTGACTTGGTTGGATATTGTCAGCCCTGGACACCCGGGGGGCGGACGCCCACGCCGCGAGCGGCGGAGCCAGCGGAGGCACCGCGGACCCGGGCTGGGAAGGGGCGGTGCTCCGCGGAGCCCGGGACGGGCGGGCGCGTTGGCCAATGGGCGTCCCCACCCTCCGCGGGCCCGCCTCCGGGTCTGGTACCGAGTGCGCGGGCCCAGCGGGCCAGACGCGGCCGGGGGACGCGTGGTCCCCGCGCTCCGGCGCGGTCCGGGTAGGCGACGCCGCGGGCCATGCGGCTGGAGGCGCAGGACGCGCTGTACGTGGCGCTGGAACTGGCCATCGCCGCGCTGTCGGTGGCCGGCAATGCGCTGGTGTGCGCCGCGGTGGGCACGTCGAGCGCGCTGCAGACGCCCACCAACTATTTCCTAGTGTCTCTGGCCGCGGCCGACGTGGCCGTGGGGCTGTTCGCCATCCCCTTTGCCATCACCATCAGCCTGGGCATCTCCACGGACTTCTACAGCTGCCTCTTCCTCGCCTGCTTCGTGCTGGTGCTCACGCAGAGTTCCATCTTCAGCCTCTTGGCCGTGGCCATCGACAGGTACCTGGCCATCCGCGTCCCGCTCAGGTGAGGCGCGCGGCGGTCTGGAGCCCCACCGAAGCCCCGCCAACGGCCGCGGGCTCCAGGCCCAGGTTCCTGGCATCGGGAACGGGCAAGACACGAGCGCCGGGTGCTCTAAACTCAGTCCCCACCCTGGAAGACACTGGCCATTCACGATAGACGCGTGCACCAGGCTGGCCAGACCCTCTTGGGGTCCCGGCGGGGCTCTGGAGGCCTGGACTCTGCTGGATGCCTGCCTCTCTGTAAGAGGATCTTCCTGGGGACCACTCTAGGGGTACCGGGCAGTGCGGTCCCCGGGAGCCGGGCCTGCCTTGGAAACTCCCGGGAAGGCACCACCCCCGCGGGCGGGTGGAGGCTCAGAAGCCCGAGGTTTGCTGATGGTATCCTTCTTTGGGCGAGAACTGTTTCGTTCCTTCCACCCCTCACCCTCAGCCAACGGGGGGTGGGGTGGGGGTGGGGGAGGAATGGTGGGGCAGAGCAGCAGCACTGAGCGCCGGGGATCTGGCAGGCCACTCTAGGTAGTTTCCAGGGCAACTTTGGACACTGGGACTTCGTGTTATCATCAGAATGGACCCTATACACGACCCGACTTCAGAATGTACCTGATGCAAAATGAGCCAAGCCTCCCTGGGCGGGAAGGAGGGTGTCAGCTAACTTTGCAGAATGCTGGAGCATGTGTCCCTGCCTGCTTAATGGTGACTCAGATCACCTCCATATACTTTTAGAAAGAGTTCAAGTGTTTCTCCCCTTCATGCCGATGTATAACCTTGTTTATCCCCGATACCCCACCCCAGCAGGCTGGGAGAGGGCCACCAGTATTTCAGAACTGAAGAAGTTAAGGGCTCTGGCTTTCTCCCACACTGAGAAAACGTAGGGTTCAGGGGATGGAGCCAGCTAGCAAGAGGGGTGGAGCCCAGCTCCAGCTGACCCAGGGCCTGAGCTGCCCAGGGGGGGCAGGAGTGCCTGGGAGCCTCAGGGCTCGTTGGGAACATTTACGCCCTGTCAGTGGTGTCTGGGCCCCTTGGGCATTTCTGAGTTGGGTGAGCTTGGGATCTCTTTGGATTCAGGGCTGAGACAGGGGACTGTCACAGGACAAGGAAGGGAGGAAAGGAATGAACTTGAGTGCCAACTCTGTGGGGCAGTTTATATGGAACTTATATCCTTTAATTCTTTCAAGTAATTCCAGAAGGGAGTCACTGTTCCCTGCGCCTCGCTGGTTGGTAGGTGAGGGAGATTAGAATCTTGCCCAGAACTGGGTCTCTAAGGCAGGACTTGAATCCACAGCTGGCACCCTTGTCCTGCTGTGCCTTCAGGCTGTCCTGCAGGGATTTGTGCAGCATCAGTGTCGGGACATGGTCGGAAAGCCTACTGCGACTTCTAGGAGCAGATCCTGCATCCAGAGAATTGGCGGTTGGAAGAGAAATGTGTTTGAGGGAACTGTCCTGGAGCATGCTCCCAGTCGCCTTTTTAGCAGCGAGACATGTTGAGCCTGTCCCTGTGGGTTGTGTCATGGTCCCAGCGTGAACAGGAAGCTCCTGCTTTGTCAGGCTGTGAGTCTGATCTGCCTGCCTGGGCCTTTCCAGGCCCTTGTGCTGCTCCCTTGGCAACTAACCAGAAGGCCTCCTGCATCCCATCAGGTGTGACAGGGCCCAGGGATTTCCAAGGTTTGGGGTGGCATGGCACATTCCTTTTCCAGGGTCCCTTTCCTGCCTCCTAGTCCTCATAGTGGTTACTTGGTGACCTTTTGGATTGTTTGCACCCAGCAGGCAGTCACAAGCGCCACCCTGAGTTTCCCGTATAATAGAAGCCCAGGGCTTGCCTCTGGCAGGGGTTCAAAGAGGCCCCAGCTCAGTGGGAGTTACTGGAAGAATCCCCTGTGTGGAGCAGGAATTCCAAGTTTAAATCTGTTAGTTCTTGTCCTGGTTTGTGCTGGGTGGAGACTTGAAAAAAATGGGTGTGGGTGTGTTAAGAGAAAGAAATGTGAATCACTGGCTGGTAACTTCTCCTTTGCAATTGCTAAGGGCAGAAGATGGTAAGTAGAGAAGGCAGAATGTTCACTGGGGAACTACCTTGAGGCTGGTCCACCCCTGCTGCCCTCCTGGCCTGCCCACGTGAGTGTAGAGGTCTAGAAGAGGTGTGTGCAAGCAGCAGCAGCTCCCGCCCCGGGAAGGTTTGGGCATCTGAGCTGTCCCCCTCAAGGTTATACCAGTAACACTCAGGCCTCCCGAACCTTCCTGGGGCTTGAAGGCCATTATTCCTCAGCGGTTTCTCACTCCCTGCTTCTGAAGACTGTGGCCCCCTGCGTGAAGGCTAAAACGCTGATTTAGGGCTCCACCAGGCCCTACTGAGTCCATTTGTAGGGTGGAGTATGTGTGTGATTGCTATGTCGGTGTCTTTAGGAATTTGTGGTCCCACCCAGGTCTGAGAGCCCTCTTGGGGTCATGAAGCCTGGGGGTTCCCCTTCACTTTGATGACATGGGTGGGTGAGGCCCAGCTCGGATGTGGCTCCAAGGCCCTTCTTGGGTCATGGACCTCCAGGTGGGAGTCAAGCTGGGAGTGCCGAGGCATCTCTCTGGTAAAGCAAGCAGTAACAAAGGCAAGGTCCAGGCACTGAGGGCAAAAGCAGTCCTTGGACTGGCCCTGGGCTCCACTCGTTCACTGACACTGTGGGCTTGAAGGCATTTGTGCCCCAGGGCTCCAGGGGCACAGACCCTGCAGCCCCTCCCTGCCTGCCACCCAGCTGCCCTTGCATTTTCCAAGAAGAGGAAGATTACTGTGCAAGAGGAAAGGGGAGCCCTGAGGTGATGCTGGGCACGAAAATGACAACTTCGGCTGGACTTGAAAATGAGAAGTGTCTGCTCCTCAAAGCACTGCCCTTGGCCTTCAGACTGGGGGCTGTCTACAAATGAAAAGAGCCTGCTGCCTCGGGTTCAGGTCTGTACAGTGCCTGGCATTCCCAGCAGAGGTTCCAGTCAAAGTGGTACCATGGGGACTGGGCAGGAATGGGGTGGTGCATGCCGCAGAGCCAGGTGTGCAGATTCCTGTGGGAGCTGGGGTTATGTGTTAGTAACAAGTGTGTCCGCCTGTGCTGCTCCAAAGCTCACTTCACCCTCGGGCTGTTTCCGGTAGGAGTCCTTTCTCCTCCCTAAACTAATCTGGGTCCCTGGTCCCTTTCACGAAACACTCCCAGCTGAGTTGGGACAGGGTGGTGGCTGTGTGAGTCACCTCTGTCCAGTGGTCTTCCCTGCCCTGCTCCTGGACTCCAGCCCCCTGCCCAGAGTGCTGAGTCTCCTGGCGAGCTTCGGAGAGTGTTTTCCAGAGCTTGGCTGGGTCGCCGACAGACTGGAAGGGGTGCATTTGTCCAGGAACCCTGACCCCACCCCTGGGTCCCTTGGGCATTTTTTCTTTCTTTCTAAAAAAATATTTTATTTATTTTATTTTCAGAGAGAGGAGGAGGGAGGGAGGATGAGGGAAAGACATATCGATATATGAGAGATACACCAATTGGTTGCCTCTTGCACATCCTCAACTGGGGGACCTGGCCTGCAACCCAGGCAGGTGCCTTGACTGGGAATCGAACCTTTTGGTTTGCAGGCTGGTGCTCAGTCCACAGAGCCACACTGGACAGGGCCCTTAACCACTTTTCCTCATGCCTCACATAGCCAGGCTGAGATAGGTACTGAAGACTTCGCAGCAAGAGGTGATGTCTTGGGTAAAAACACAGCCTCCACTAATCAGACTGAGCTGTATGTAGAGGTGAGTTGGCAGGGGATTTTGAGTGTTTTTTCAAAGTTTTTTTCCCCCCATTTTTATTCCTTGAGCTACTGTTCTCATATGATAAAAATTCACCCTTAATGTTGTTTTGAAGTAAAGCTAGGAGAGAAGTTTTTCAGCTCTGGGTCCTACCTGCCCCCCTGCTTTTCCAACGACCCCCTCCTTGGGTTCTCCCTTCTCCACACCAGTGTTTTTGTTCTTGGGCTGGTCATTCCCATTGTCATGGGTTGAAGGGGGGGGCTGAACCTGTAAGTGGGGTCTTATCTAGGAAAGAAATGACTGTTTCCTTACATAAATCTTTTTTTTTAATTTTTATTTATTTATTTTCAGAGAGAGGGGAAGGGAAGGAGAGTGGAGGAAATCAAGTGTGGTTCTTTTGCCCCTGCTCTACGTGCCGTGTCCGGCTCTTCTTCTTGAGTAGAGGAGCTAATCCTGGGTTATCTGGTGGCCCTGAATGAAGTCACGTGGTTACAGTGAGGGCAGGCAGCAAGAAAGGAGGCCAAGACTGAGACCGGAGTGGGCTGGGGCTGCTGCCAGCAGCTGGGAGAGTGGCAGGTTCTCCCCTGGAGCCTCTGCAGGGAGCCGGGCCCCACCCACGCCTTCCTTTCAGGAGTCCGGCCTCCAGAACTCTGAGAGAAGTGATATTTTAAGCCACCAAGTTTGTGGCACTGTTGCAGTAGCTCCAGGAAACCACCATTACGACATGAATATGCTTAAATCAGCTGCATCGACTGTACACCCTCTCCATGTACTGGCTCCTCCTTCATTTCTCTCCACAATAAACTTTTCTGACAAGTCATCCAGTTTCACTGCTTCCCCTTCCATGGTCCCCATGGGTCACTGAATTGCTGTCAGGTCACCCCTGCCATGACCCCTTTTTGGCTGAATCTAATGGTCACTTCTCCGGTATCATTGCATATGTCCTCTTAGCAGCTTTTGATCAGTTCCTGCTGGGTCACGGTGGCACCCCCTCCCCACTCCCCCGTGACCATTCCCTCCACTGCTGCCAAGAGGAGGATGTGAGACATGGGTCCGAGCTCATCATATGTTTGCATAGAACTTGAATGTCCCACTCGGCCCTCGGGCTCTGAACGGCCTGGCTCCCCGCCCTGCCTCTCACCAAGCACAGCCGTGCTGGTCCAAGTTCTTTTACCAGCTGTAGTCTTTGTTCAGTATTTCCTTGGTTCTCCCACCACCGCATTTCCTTATCACTGGTTATGGTTAAGCTATGT